ARSYTRTTMGGGWGTGTCCAAAGGAGGGACACAGGGATGGAGAGGGSCCCAGAGGGGCCACAYSAGGAGTGGCTGAGGGCACTTGSCCTGTCCAGCTGCAGCAGAGGGGYCTGAGGTCAGATCTCACTGGGRCTGCAGCTCCTCCCAAGGGGCAGCTCCAATCTCTGCTCCCTGGGACMAGGGACAGGACCCAGGGAACAGCTGGAGCTGTGTCAGGGAGGGTTAGGCTGRATRTCAGGAAAMKGTTCTTGCCCCAGAGGGTGGTGGGGCACTRMMCAGGCTCCCCAGGGAATGGGCACAGCCCCAAGGCTGCCAGAGCTCCAGGAGTGYTTGGACAATGCTGTCAGGGACAGRGTGTCTGTGCAGGGCCAGGAGCTGGACTAGATGATCCTTGTGTATCTCTTCCAACTCAGRATATTSTATGATTRTRAGGACTTCTYGCTATGGGTCAGAGGRACAGGGAAGGTGCTGGCAGAACTGGTTGTCCCAGCTGAAGTCCCCAAGGAGACCTGAGACAAGCTGTCTACTTAAAAGATTAAGTACAGCAGCAGGCATCCAGGGGAAGCAGCAGCTCCCCTCACTGCTGATGTTCCAGGGAGAAGTTGCTGGGGCTGTCAAGCCCTCCCCAGCAGTGGGAYGAGTGTGTGCTGGCTCAGTGCCATTCCTGCTGACAGGGGATGGGAGGCAGTGAGGCTTTCCCTCATTCCCATCGTCGTTTCATCTCTCATCTTCTCACCTCCRCCAGATGAAATCAGCATCTTGCTGTAATGAGTGTCGGTTTTTTCAGAGGAAACTCAGCACTCTCYCTGATGGGGAGAAGCATTTCCATCCAGTGAGGCAGTTCCCATCACAAGCACTACTGGGAATCCAGCACATAGTGYCTGTAATTTTACTCTCCTCTCTGCACTTTGTGTTGGAATCTTTTCCTTCTGCCGTGCTGAAAGTGGAAAKTAAAAGCTGTATTTTGACTGTGCAGGAAATTCTGCATATTCTGGGGCATCTCACAGAGACTCTGCTCTCTGCCCGGAGCTCAGTCCCAAGATAACCAGTGAAGGTGGGTTTTGTCTTTCTTCTGTTCCAGAGCCAGAAGAAGCAGAGACCCACTTCTTGTCCAGAGAGATCYTGTGGCACTTGCGGCAGGAGCACCTCGAGGAGGTCGCTGTGCCCGAGGTGAACCACCCACACACCCCATCCACAACCCTGGACTCTGCAGAGCTCAACCTCCAGATCAGTGTGTCGGACCTGCCACAGTCACTGCGCACTGATGGCTTCTAACACACAGCCTGTACCACCCCTGGGGGCTCCAGTCACCCTTCCCCAGCCCCCTTCCTCTCGGGGCACGTGCTGTCCATGGCAGTGATCCCCAGCTCCCTCCCAAACCTCCTGTGCATCATGGTTACTGGAGCAGCTGACTCAGCCCACAGCCCTGTGACATGCTTCCCATTTTCTTTGTTATGTACAGCTCATATATTCTTCTGTGGGTGTATTGTTTTTTTATCTGCTTTGATTTGTGTCATATAAAGCACTTTCTTCTGGGACAAKTTGCAGAATCCTAAATCTTGGGCACAATGTGCAGTCTGCCCCATGTGGGATAGGAAAAGGTTCTTCCCCCAGAGGGTGCTGTAGCTCTGAACAGGCTCCCCAGGGAATGGTCACCCAGGGAATGGGCACAGCCCCAAGGCTGCCACAGCTCCAGGAGCACTTGGACAATATTCTCAGGAACAGGGTGGGATTATTGGGGTGTCTCTGCAGGGCCAGGAGTTGGATTCAATAATGGTTGTGGTTCTCTTCCAACCCATGATTCTGTGACATGCTGTGGTGTTGGATGGGGCTTCGGAAATTCCAGCCACAAGTGTGCCCTGTGTGCTGGGACAAACACACTCAGCCCACGTGTCCTGACTCATGGAGTGGCTTCTGCAGGCACACGGAGCATGTGCAGGACTTCCAGGGGAGCCTCCAGCCTGAGGGGAAGTGTGGGTGGCAGAGCAGGCCCACCCAGGATGGGGAGATGCAGGCTGGGTGGGTGCAGACTGGAGCTGAGACTACAGCCCTGCTTCTGCCCAGCTCCTTTTAGATTCACAGAATCCCAGAATCACTAAGGCTGGAAAAGCTCTCTAAGGTCATTGAGGCCAGCCATTGAGCACTGCCAAGGCCACCACTAACCCMTGTCCCCATGAGTTTTTTAACACTGCYAGGAGACAGTGACTCCACAGTGACTGCYCTGCACAGCCCATCTCAATGTCTGACAACACTTTCAGCGAATCAATTCTTCCTGTTGTCCAAACAGAACCTCCCCTGGAGAGGTGTGAGGCCACTTTCCCTGAAGCTGTCCCTTGTTCTCTGTGAGCAGAGCCCCACCTGCCTGTCAAGAAGTTGCAGAGAGGGAGAAGATGYCCCCTGAGCCTCCTTTTCTCCAGGCTGACCYCCCYACCCAGCTCCTCATCTTGTGCTCCAGACCCTTGACCAGCTCCGTTCCTTTCTCTGGCCAAGCTCCAGCCCCTCAAWGTCTTTCTTGTTGTGAGGGTCCCAGAATTGGACACAGAATTCCAGGTGCCTCACCTGGGCTATATATGCTCTGCCTTTCATGCACATAGGAGAACATGGTGGAGATCTCTCCCCAGCTCCAGCCCAGCAAGCTTCCAGGAGAGATTTGGCTGCATGTTGGTCCTGCTGGGATTCAGAATTGGAACCCATTTCAGGATGCAGTAAAACCTTAATCTGCAGCTTAATCTCTGGGTACTGYATCTGTGCAAAACTGGCAAAAACGGCAGATGAAAGGGCTGTGAAAGGAGGGTTGGGACAGCAAAGGCCACTGCAAAGAGCCAGCTGGTTTGCAGAGTATCAGGAATCTTTGCAGAGGCTGCCGGGATGTRCCAAGTGCCTGTGCTCCATTGACTGCAGAGGGAAGACAGCAGGTGAGGGATCTCCTGCTGCTGGTAGGAGACACCCTGGGTGCAGGGAGCAGAGTGGGGGTCTGGCCCTGGGTGTGGGCAGGATGTGAGTCCTGGTCACTGGAGCAGAATTCCCAAGGGCACAGAGCAAATGCTGTGGCACCTGCTGGGATGCAAGAGAAATGCACAGCATCGGGGCTGAGCTCAGCAACACGGGGACAGCCAGCGGCAGCTGTGTGAGCAGCAGAGCCACTGCAGCCCCCAAGGGTTCACACCTTCAAACCCATCCTTGTGGGGCACAACTCCGTGTCCTCCTTGATGCCCTGCTCCCTCCTCATGTGGAAGCTTCTTATCTCGCCCATCACCAAAGCCAGGCTGGGCTGGAGATGCTGATAAGCTGAGGCCATATTAGCAGGGGACAGGTTGAAAGACAGGCACAAGCCCAGAGGAAATCTGACAGCACAACCTTGTTCCAGCAGCAGCCGTGCTGCCAGCCAAAGGCTCAGCTCCCGCCACTGCTCAAGGGCACAGCCGGGGCCAAGGTGAAAGCCTTTGCTGGCAGCGGGAACCGGAGGCAGGGCTGGATCAGAGGCAGGAAAATCAAACCTCAGAAGTGGCAGCTTGCTGCTAAGCTGGCCAACACAGGATAACCATTTTCCCCTTGAGCTCTCCAACTGCACAAATAGCTCAGTTTTAGTGCTAATCACAGCATCTCACAGCAGGTCTGACTCAGGACTCTCCAGCTTGGAGGCAGACCCATCCTGATCCATAGGGAGCAGCAATGCCACCACCCCTCAGCAAGGTGAGCTGAGCAGGTCCAGGGGCCACCACAGTCCAGCAGCTCCCAGGGGGACAGGGAGGGAGGGTCACAGCCAGGATCCTGCTCAGCAAAGCACAGACTGGCTGCACCCTCCCTCCAGCCAGGGCTGGGGCCAGGGCTCAGCTTAAATGCAGCAAGGACAGGGCTTTTCCCAGCCCCTCCTCACATCCCAACTGTTTTCCCACCTGAAATCCCAGGAAGCACCCACAGTGACCCACCCATGATGCTCCACACAGCACAGAGCCTTRGTGTGGAATCTCAGGGGGCTGAGAGGAGAGTTCCCTCACAGACCCTCTGCAGGGCAGGTGCTTGGGCTTYTACCATGAACCTAGAAAAACTGATCTTCATGGTATTCCAGAAGGGGTTGGGTTGGAAGAGACCTTAAAGCTCATCTCATTCCACCCCCTGCCATGGGCAGGAACACCTTCCATTATCCCAGCTTGCTCCAAGCCCTGTCCAGCCTGGCCTTGGACACTTCCAGGGATGGGACAGCCAGAGCTTCTCTGGGTAAGATGTGCCAGGGCCTCACCACCCTCACAGGGAAGAATTTCTTCCCAATGTCCAATATAAACCCACTCTCTGCCATGTTGTCTTGCAAAAAGTGCTGGTGAGGCTGGCTATGGGTTCACCTCCCTGGAGGTGAGAGCAGTGACTGATCACAGGGTTCTGCTGCCCTCACATGTTGTTTTTTACAAACATACAAATTTTCTAAGTCAGTCTTGCRCTAAGTGGTGCTTTTCAAGTGTTATGATTGTGTTCCAAGAAAGGCCCTTGCACTCACATAGCTTTATTTTACTTTATTTTCACCTTTCACACATTAAAAATCCTGCTTGAAAAGGGGCTGATTCGAGATGGCTGAGGAAAATCTCAGTCAGGTTCACTAAGTCCACACCTGCCTCTGGATAAAGTTTGGAATCCTGCAAAGCAAGGGAACAGTAGCTCAGCACTCAGCCTTCAGCAATGGTTGAACATAAACTGGTTATTAATATTAATAACAATATTAATGATTCTTTTTTGGGCTGCACCTGCCACTGCCTCTCGAGTCCCTTCCTTTTCCTGTTCCCAGTATTATACATTGGGAATGTATCTAAATTAACTTGGAGAGCAGCAGCCTGACAGCCCAGAAGGCTTCACAGAGCTGCCTCCGTGCTGGCGTAGCACCCACGAGAGTAACACATACATAACCCCCAGCATCCCAGCTTTTAATTAAATTGTGCCAAGCACCCGAAACCAACATTTCCCGCAGTTCCTCAGTCTTGCCTGCAGTTCTGCAGTGTCTGTTTTCCCAGCTGGAAGTGCTGCTCTCTGGTTCTCACTGGCACCTTCAGAGGCTGTGTCAGCTGGAGCGTGGCCCCAGCACAGCTCCGTGGGGCTTTGGGCTCACACAGAGCTGCACAGCCTGAGGGATTGGATATCTGGGAAAATTTCTTCACTRAAAGGGTGTCAAGCACTGGAACAGGCTGCCCTGGGCAGKGCTGGAGTCACCTTCCCTGGAAGTGTTCAAAAAATGTGTGAGTGCGGCTCTTGGGAGTTGGTAGTTTTTTAATGTTTTGGCTTGGCAGGGCTGCTTTCATGKTTGGACTTGATAGTCACAGGATCATTTAGGTTGAAAAAGAGCTTCAAGATAATTTTTATTCTTTCCTGAATTTTGTTCTGGTATTTCTGGGAGTGTATGTGGAAATTCCTCCCCAGAGAAGGATGCCCATCAGTGACTCCTGAACACTGAAGGAGAGATTTGGTCCCATGCATTGAGATGGCTGAGGAGCATCAATCTCTGTTCAGTAATTACYTTGCTACCTTTAATAACATTTAATATCAATATTGCTTCAAAAGTAGTGCATTGCTGCAGCAGTTGGAGCTACCTACAATGTGCAATAAATAATTCAGATTAAGATCTTYTAGTCTAATCACAACCACCATTAATTTAAATACATTATTTATGTAGCTATTTTTGGGTTACCATCCTTAATCCTGAAGGACAAAGTCGTATAAAGGCTCAGTTGCACCTGTACAACTCTTTAGACATAAACCAGTGGCCCAGCTTGGGACTGGATCAGACTCCTCAAAGAGGAGGAGCCCTGGAAGCTGCAGAGCTTGGGACCTCCATCCATGTGCAGGCAACGCAGGGGTGGGACTGGGATGGTGGCTTGGCCCCGGGGAGCCCTGACCGCGCTGAAAGGCAACCAKGAGCTGTGTCAGTGTCGCCCGGGGCGGCCCCGGAGGTGCCGGTGCCCCTCGGGGCCGGTGCGGGGCCGGTGCGGAGCCGGTACCCATCTCGGGCCAGGCTGATGCCGGGCCGCACCTCAGCACACAACACCCCCCCAAAATGGCGGCGGGCGGGCGGCGTGAGGGAGCGGGAACTGTCACGTGATGCCGCTCCACCCAATCAGCGCCGGGCGACGCCTCCGTGGCGGGAAGGGAAGCGAGGGGAGGGGTCACTGCCTCCGTGACAACCAATCAGCGGCGGGCTAGGGGCGGGACCAAAGGGGAGGCGTCACGTGTCTCCGCGCCAGCCAATCAGAGGCGGACCGTGTCGGCGCCAAGATGGCGGACGATAAGGTGAGCGGGGAGGGCCGGGGTGAAGGCCCGGAGGGCGGCCTGGAGGGGCTGGGRATCAACTCCGTGTCTCCGGCAGGACTCACTGCCTAAGCTGAAGGACCTCGCCTTCCTGAAGGGGCAGCTGGAGAGTCTGCAGCGCAAGGTGGAGGACGAGGTGCAGGCCGGCGTGGGGCAGGTAACGTGTGGGCTCGGGGCGGGCAGGCTGCCCCCTCTGAGAGGGACTGGGGGGGAAAACAAGTCCCAGGGGAAAAACAACCCAGCACCCACCCCTGGGGCACGTCCTGTGTCTCCCCGATCCCGTCCGGCCGTGCCTCACTGTGCTCTCCCCTCAGGACGGGTCCTTGCTGGCATCGCCTTTCCTCAAAGGCTTCCTGGCCGGATACCTGGTAGCCAAACTCCGCTTCTCGGCCGTCCTGGGCTTCGTCGCTGGCACCTGCACGGGAATTTACGCTGCCCAGAACTACGCCGTGCCCAATGTTGAGAAGACGATTCGGGACTATGTGAATTCACTRAAAAAAGGTCGGGACTAGCGAGGAGGATCCCGGAGCAGCAGGGACTGCAGGAATGGTGCTCCTTAGGTAGCAGGCACAGAGCACCCCCACGGTTCTGGGAGGCACATCACCTGCACCCTTCTTTTCCCTGGAAAAGGGCTTTGCACCACACCACTGCGACACATCAGGGAGCTGGTGATGGGTGTTTGTTGGGCATCGTGGCAGCAGTGATCACTGCACTAACCCACAGCAGCTTGAGAGCACTGAGGGACTGCCAGCTGCCTTTTCCCCCCTCACCTTTCCCTGTGCCCCTGTGGATTAAGGGGCTGCTATGCCCTGTGTGCCCTGTCACCTGTGTGCCCTGGGAACCTGAGGCTGCTGTGCCCTGTCACCTGTGTGCCCTGTAACCCGTGTGCCCTGCCACCCAGCCCACGCTGTGCCCTGGGAATGTGCTTTGTGCGGCTTCTCAGGAAGGCTTGTAGTTCTCCTAACGAGAGACARCACCCTGCTCTCCTGCTGCACCAGGAATGCTGCAGGGAACATCCAGGCTCATTAAATTCTTGGTATTTGGTCTCTTCAGTGTTGCAGGGTGAGAGTCTGTCTGGCCTCTGCACTGATAGCAGCTCACTCGTGCTGGCTCCTGCCTGGAAATGGGGATGTTTGGGAATGCTGCTGGCTCTGCCAACAGGCTGCTCCAGAAGGGGCTGTGGGCACTGATGCTGCTGCTGTCTGTGGCCATCTAYGGCTCCCACGCCCCCCTCCTGACCCTCTGCAAGGTGGATGGGGCCATCCCGTTCAGCTCCACRTCCGTGGTGGTCCTCGTGGAGCTGACCAAGCTGGTGCTGTCCCTCCTGTTCCTGCTGGCCGGGGCACGGGAGCCGCTGGGAGCGGCGGTGTCCTGGCGTCACGCCGCGCCCTTCGCTCTCTCGGCCCTGCTCTACGCTGCCAACAACAACCTGGTGGTGCACATGCAGCTCTTCATGGACCCCAGCACCTTCCAGGTGCTCAGTAACCTGAAGATCGTCAGCACRGCGCTGCTCTACAGCCTCCTGCTGCGCCAGCGCCTGGGCTCGCGCCGCTGGCTGGCCCTGCTGCTGCTGCTGGCTGCCGGTGTCACCTACAGCTGCGGGGGCCTGCGGGGGCCCAGTGACCCCCGTGGGATGCACCTGCACGTCACACCCGTGGGGCTGCTGCTGCTCTCCATCTACTGCCTCATCTCCGGCCTGTCTGCYGTCTACACCGAAGCCATCCTGAAAACCCAGGCGCTGCCCCTCAGCCTCCAGAACATCTTCCTGTACTTTTTTGGGGTCCTGTTCAACCTGGTGGGCTCCGTGTGGAGCAGTGCAGAGGGCGGGTTCCTGGAGGGTTTTTCCCTGTGGGTGCTGCTGGTTGTGTTCAGCCAAGCCCTGAACGGCCTCATCATGTCTGTGGTGATGAAGCACAGCAGCAACATCACCAGGCTCTTTGTCATCTCCTGCTCCATCCTGGTCAACGCCCTCCTCTCTGTTGCCCTCTTCAACCTGCAGCTCACCCTCCTCTTCTTCATGGCCGTGGTGTGCATCGGCCTGGCTGTACACCTGTACTATGGAGTCACGTAGCCACTGCCTCCCTTCTCCGTGTTGGGCAGCCCCAGCCCTTCCTCAGGGCTGGAACCATTCCTGGTGAGCACCTGYACAGCTCCAAGGACCTCCCAAGGAGGAGTACTGAGGGGAAGAGCACCCTGTCCCTGCTTCCATGGGGAAACTGGGCTCTACTCCAGTCCAGCCAGGCTGTGTGCCATGGAGTTCCTGTGGSATCAGGCATGTCCAGCCTGAACCCCTTGTGCATGGCTCATAGTCTCAAGATGCACCAGGGAGGGGTCAGGTTAGAYATTGGGAGTAATTTYTTCACAGAGGRGCTGATTAARCATWGGAAGGGGCTGCCCAGGAAGTGGTRGAGTCACCATCCCTGTAGGGGTGTAAAGAAAGACCGGGTGTGTCACTTAATGCCACAGCCTAGTTGACAAGGTGATGCTGCGTTACAGGTAGGACTTGATCTCASAGGTCTTTTCCCACATCACTGGTTCTGGGACCCTGTGTCCCATGTSCTCAAGCTGCTTCCCCACACCACAGTGGCCTGGGAATGCTCTGGCAGGAGTTGGCCCTGCTGCACCTCCTGCCAGCCCAGCATGGGACTGGTGCCATTTCAGCGCCCATGGATGCTGCTTAATCCCCATCATTCCTGGTGCTGCTTCTCGGGGTCTCTCCCACCTCCGTGGTTTTCCAGCCTTGCCCCTGGCTGGAACCTTTCTCCTCAGGCCCCTGAGGAACCTTGCTCCTCCACCCTTCCTGGGCAGTGTCTCTGGTCTCAGCTGAGCAGGCACGGATTGGGGGATGTGGGAACTGTTTCATCTGCTCCCCAAAAGGGAGATGCCCCCCAAATTTGTACCAAGTTCCTGGCAGGCAGAGGCCACCCGGGGTATTAAAGCTACGGTTCAACAGAATCTGTGYGTCTGTCCTTTGTCTGCCATCCCTGTGGGAGGTTGTCTGTGTCCCTTGGGACAGGTWTGGGTGCCAGGGATGTGTCAAGAGCCTGACAACAATCATGGGTGAGGGGTACCAGCTTTATTCCATGTGGCCCGCACTGGGGGCTGCCAGCCCTCCCAGCAGGCTGAGCCTGTGCTCCCACAGGCAGGTTCCCAGCAGGGTTTTTCCTCTCTGGGCCAGGTTTCCACAGGGAGCAGTGGCCAGAGTGGGCAGGAGGGGAGGCTGTGCCTGGCATAATTCGGTGATTGGGACTGTCCAGTCTCCCGGCAGCACTGGTGGCTCAGTGCAGGGAGGGGTCTGCAGGGACCCTGTCCTGCCAGGCCAGCTGTCCCCATGCCCTGGGGCATGGCTCAGGGGGTCTGTGTGGTGGCATTGGCTGTGCCCACTCGTCGGGCAGCCTGCAGGTGCTGGTTGTGCTCGGCGAGCTCCACGGCGTCCTGGAGCACCTCCCGCAGCAGCGCCCGGTGCCGGCGCTCCAGGGCCTCCCGCTGCTCCTCTGCCAGGCGCTGCTGGTCCCGGAGCACCTGCGGGACCCGGGGCAGTTGGCACAGCCCTGGCACAGCCCTGGCACAGCCAGAGGGGTGTCCCCAGGCCTGCCAGCACACCTGCAGCAGGTGCTGCCTGCAGGCTTGCATCTCCTGCTGGTGATTGTGCAGCAGGGCCTCCAGGTCCCACTCAGCTGCCTCCCGCTCCCGCAGCGCTGCCTCCAGGCTCAGCCCCAGCGCGGTCACCTCCTGCTGCCAGCGCTCTGTGTCCCACTGCGGGGAACAGGGACAAGGTCAGGGCAGCTCCCCGGGCTCTGCTAGGGAGGGCAGTGCCAGGGGAGGAGAGGCTGGAGCTCGTAGTGCTGGGTTCTGCCTGTGGCCACCTCTGCGCTGCGCTSCTGGGCTGGCACAGCCCCGGCCCCAAGCTCTCTCTGCAGTTGCCGGCAGTGCTGGGCCCGCAGCCGCTGCCGCTGTGCCCTGGCCAGGGCGYGCTGGACCTCCAGGGATGGGCCCGGCTGGCACCGGCTCCCTGCCTGGGGGAGAGCGGAGCAGGCTTGGATGGCGCCAGGACCCAGTGCTGGCAGCACAGAACTGCACACCGACCCCATGGGCTGCCACTCACACTGTCACCCCTGGGCCATGGCTGTGACACTTTGCTCTGGGATGGKCCCTCCAGCAGCTCCCRTCYTGCTTGGCTTTSCCCTCCCTGGCTGCTCCTRCTGTYCCCTCCCTGGCTGTTCCCKCKGTCACCSTGTCCTGCTGTGGGGACAGGGAAGGACAATAAGTGTGACATGGGGAGCAGAAGAAGGAYGTTCAGATGGAGGAGTGAAGCCTTTCCCACCGTGTAAAGCCATGCTCCGTGCCCACATATCCTCCACCCATGTGTGGGACGCGTGCCTGGCCCCACGCTCTGGCCCTGCTGGCTCCAGGCTGGTGCTGCTTGGGGCACTCTGGGTCCCAGGCTGCTGGCCTGGGTCTGTATTCCCTGCAGAGACCTGGTCCTATGAGGGAAGGGGGAGATGTTACAGGGACACAGCCAGGGTTCGGGGCTTCTCCTGCTCCGGGGCTATCCCTGCATGAGGGGGCCTGGCCTGACCTCTGCCCACCTTGGCACTGGGCTGGTGCATCTCGCTTGTTCCGAACACCTCAGCTGCTGCCTGCTTTTTCTCCCACCTTTGACTCTTCAGCACCTGGGAAAGGAGAACTGGAGGTCCTTTTTGGGGTGCTTCRGACCTCCAGGCCTGGCGTGGCTCCAGGGACACATCCCACCCCCCATCTCACCCCTGAGGCAGCCGCAGCCCCTGCCCTCACTGCTGGACAAGGGTCGTGACACCAGGGTGAGTCAAGAGCCTGGATCTTACCAACCCAGGGAATGAGTGCYATCCTGGTCCCATGTGGATCCAGGGGCATTCCCCACCTGCAGCTCCCGCAGGGCTCTCTGCAGCCGGGCCACAGCCATCTTCTGCTCAGGGAGGCCGGCTCCAGCCAGCAGCTCCRTCCGCAGCCCTCGGATCTCCCTCCGGCGTGCCGCGATCTCCTCCGCAGGGTCCCAGAGCGTGACCGAGATGGTCTTGGTCAGCCCCTTCACCCTCTCAGCCAGCCCCAGGGCTCCCAGGATCTCCTCTCTGGAGGTGTCTGGAGAACAGCGAGCCCTGGGCAGGGGCCATGAGGGGCCACCAGCACAGGAGGTGCCAGGGCTATGGGATGAGTGGAGCTGGTGTCCAGCCTCCAATGGCTGCAGGTGTCCCTGGGACCGAGTGCCAGCTGTGGGGCAGGATGGGGAGAATCCTGGGGGGAGGGGGATCCAAAGTGTGTCCCAGTTCTGGGGGCTACCTGGCAGCGACACACACAGCAGCAGGAAGGTCAGGCTGTTCCCCTCCAGCAGCCGCTCCACGATCCAGGGCAGGCACAGAGCATCAGGTCCCCTGCACAAGGGGAGAGACACCCCAGGAGAGAGATGGCTCTGGCAGTGCCAGGCAGGCTGAGCCCCAACCCACAGGAGCCCARGGATGAGCTGGCCACCCTGGGAACAAGCCCATGTCCCCAAGGAATGGTGGCATCTCCTTGGGTCCCAGCCACAGGTTCCCAGGGGTGCGTCCCTGCAGCTTCACCTCCAGCTACGGAAATCCCTGACCCACGGCAGGCACACGAGTGTGCTGGAGCAGGGAAAGGCTCAGCTCTGGGACAGGCTCAGCCCTGGTACTCACAGCCTGGGGTGGGGCCCGGTGGCCCCTGGGCACACCAGGATCCTGAGGGCCGAGCGCTGGCGCCTGCCACCCTCCAGCTCCCGCTCCACGGTGAGAGTGAAGAGGCTGCCAGCCCTGGGGAGAGGGTGCTGTGGGTGCGGGGCTGCAGCAGAGCCAGCCCCAGCATGGGCYAGTCCTTCTGACAGGTGGGATCTGTGCCAAATCCCTCACCCCTGCACGGCTGAGCACCTCTCTGTGAGGGGCTGCTGAGYACAGCCCTGGAACAGCRYCGGGATGGCACCCAGCCCCCTGGCRTAGGCACTGATGGCAGCCTGGGCATCAGACACGGCCACTTCTGTTGCCTCCTCCACCATCCTGCAAGCAGAGGGAGCCAAGGCCAGTGGGAGGGTCACATCCYTCACTGAGGGATACCCTGGCCATGCTGTGGCTGGGTACCTGCTGCCTGCCCAGCCCCACTCTGATATTGGGGTACCAGCCCCCAGGAGCCCCTGCTCTGCCATGGGGCATCAGGTACCTACAGACCCAGGGGTGCCAYATCCATCACTTGCAGGGCTCGGCCATCAGGGTGGAGCAGGTCCCAGGCTTTGTCATGGGTGCTGACCTGGAATGAGGGTGCTGCATTAGGCAGGGGGGCAGGAAAAGGGGGCTGCTGGCATCCCACACTCACCAGGGGCCCGGACTGCTCGTGGCCATGCACAGGTAAGGGCTGAGAAGAGCTGATTTGGGGGTAATTTCCCGCTTTTCCAGCCCTGGTGCCAGGGAAGAGCAGAGCCCTGGGAACGCCCGAGCCCTCTGTGGAGCTTATCAGGTCCTGGCAGCATCCCAGAGCCAAAGGGCAGGACCTAGCCCAGTGGCAGGGGCTGGCATCACTGCTGGCTGAGGCTGCACCGGAGGGACCATCAGGCCACCGAGTGCAGTGAYCAGCAGGGAAACCCAGCCATGCTGTGTGCAGGAAGGCTTAGAGGGCTCCCCTGTTCCCACCATGCTGCTGGAGCCTTGAGATGCTCTGTGGGCAGCTGAGGCTTCCCACATATGGGAAGTCCTGGAACGAGGTGAGAACACTGGGATGCAAAGGTCTCCAGCCCCGATCACGCTCTGGATGGCAGTACCGGGCAATGTGTGCCCTTGGCACAGCAGGGGCTGGGCAGCGGCACAGAGGGAACAGGACCCTCATCCCAGGACATCCTGCCCTACCTGGACCAGGCTGACGGTCTGCAGGCTCCRTGTGTCATCCCCCAAGGCCTCCAGCTCTTGGAAGATGGTGTCCATCACCTGTGGACGAGCTGGGAGCTGTTAGTGCCCGGACCATGGCTGGGTCTCAGCCCCACCCCRGTGGGTTTGGGGACYGTTGGGTGACCTGGGAGCCCAGCAYTGCACAGCTGTGCTRTCACCTGTCCCTGCCACCCTTCCCTGTGCCCTCACCTGCCGGATGACACTCTGGAATGGCAGCTGTGTCCCAGGGCCATGGGGGTCCCACAGCAGCAGGGACAYGCTGTAGCCAAGGGGAACCAGGGCCAGCTGGGGCCTGGCCAGCTCCAGGACCTTATCCTGGTAGGAGGGACATATCCAGCACAACGGGGTCAGCCTGGCACTGCCAGCATGGCACAGCACAGTGTGGCACAGTGTGGCACAGCACAGTGTGGCACAGCACAGTGTGGCACAGCACAGTGTGGCACAGCATGGCACGGCCAGCATGGTGCAGATGGCCCAGGCTCGTGTGGCTCAGGACAGGGTACAGAGGAGGACTGGGGGCTCATGGTACCTGTCCTGTATCCAAGTGGAAGATGCCATCGACAGTCAGGGAGCTCTCCTGGTGCCAGGGAGGGGGATAGTGTTCAGTTTCTTCCTATCCCAGCATGACCAGTGCAGGGCAAAGGAGGGACTGGGATATGGATGGCAGGGGTGGCACAGAGGGCCTGGCACAGGCAGGGTTGAGGGGAGACCCCTCCCTTCCCCTGCCCTCTGGGGAGCCCCAGGAGCCCCCACTAGGGAGGGGCCCATAGGGACATAGGGCAGGGTCAGCCCAAGAACTCTGCACCCATCAGAGTCCCAGATGTGGCCAGTGGTGGGACAGAGCCCCCTGCTGCTGCCACCTGGGTCCCCAGGGACCCTCCTTGCCTGGCTGTCCCTGTCCTGCAGCTCTCACCTGGGGCTCCTTCCCAGCCAAGAGGAGCTGGAGGGGATCCTCGCTGCCAACTGTCCAGTTTTCCCCTGCAAACACCGAGTGTGGGGTGCTGTGAGAGCTTCACCCTCCCTGCCCCAGCCCTATCTTGCCCCCCTCACAGCCTGGGGTGCACCCCAGAGCTTCACATCATTCCCGAGCCCTCCCGCTGTGGCTCAGAGCCAGCAGGATGGGGAGCACACCCCGTCCCTGTCAGCGCTGCCCACACCAGCCTTGCCCAGTGGTCCCAGTGCCAGCAGAGCTGTGCTGCTGCCCTGCCCCGTTCCCTGGGCTGGGTGCTCAGGTGAAGGCTGTGCCATGTCCCCAGCCCTACCTGTGGCCTGGTGGAGCCCCAGGGCTGCTCGCACGCTGACACTGTGCTGGGCCTGCCGGGATGGAGGGGAAGGAAACACACACTCAGCACCTGCCAGGAGCGGGTGAGCCCCCAGGGAGCTGAGCAGCCCCTGACAGATCCCTGCAAGGCAGCCTGGGCTGTGCCCACCGCAGCACTCACCTCATCCATGGGCAGAGCAGCAGCCACCCCTGAGCTGCTGTTGGGCCAGGGCAGGGATGGGTTACCCCGGGGACTGGGATCCATTTCTCCTGCATTATTGATGGCTGTAGGCAGAGCCAGAGCCAGCCTGAGGCTCCCTGCTGCAGGGGCTGAGCCCTGCTGGCCAAGGAACAGCGGGACCAGGGAGGGCAGGGGGTGCCTGGAGCCACTCACAGCTCCAGAAGGGACATCTCTGTCAGCCAGGGCTGGCACAGGAGGGACCTTGGGCTGCTGTAAAGGTTCTCAAGGGACAAGAAGGGGCCACAAAGCACGGCATCACTGGCGATCAGTCACAGCAAGAGAGCACTGGGGGAAATGCCAGTGCTGAGGATCTCCATTGTGTGTGGAAACGCAGATGGTGGCAGCCAGGGGAGAGGGCCCAGCACAGCYCCTGCCCTGCTTTTGGACAGGACCAGGACAAGGAGATGCACACACATCCCTCTGGCTGCCTGCTCCCCATACAGAATGACACCCCCAGAACCCCCTCACCTGTGCCTCAGGTGTGAGGCTGATGCCAGCTGGACACAGATGGAACAGGCAGCACTGAGGTTCCAGCAGGAACAGGGCAATGGGGGCGTGTTGGGGAGCTGGAGCTGGCCACAAGGAAAGCCCCTCTGGAGGGTGCAGCCCTGGGSCAGAGCAKGGCACGGGGCTTTGAGGGATTCCCCAGGACATGGCTGGGATAACGCAGGGGAAAGCCCTGCTCCACAGGGGAGCCCAGCCTGGCCACTCCCAGAGCCCCTCACGGTGACCCTGTGAGCCTTCCCCAGTGGGAATGGTCACACACCCCCTCACAGTGGGAATGGTCACACACCCCCTCACAGTGGGAATGGTCACACACCCCCTCACAGTGGGAATGGTCACACACCCCCTCGGTGCCCTGGCAGCAGACAGCCCCACGTGGGTGCTCCCAAGAGCAGCAAAGCCCAGGATCCCAGGAGACAGGGATTGCTCCTTCCTCATCCATCAGCCAGCAGAGCTGTTCCCTGCCCCGTGTCCAGCCAGCTCAGGGTCCCCAGGGTGCAGGGATTGTACACCCTGATTAACACCAGCAGAGCAGAGCCTTGGCCAACAGCCTGCTCCACCAACAGCCCTGCCACAGCCCAGGGCACGGCCCCACCCTCCATGGCTGCCCAGGGCTGGTGGCACAGCCCCAGGGCTCCAGGGCCACTCCACCCCAGGCAGGGGCACACCCCGGGGCCCTGGACCTGTGGCAGACCCCGAGTCCATCACGATCCCGGACCCCAGGCCCTGCTCAGCTGCTCTCCAGCTCCAGCTTTGCTCCTTCCCCCCTGGCTTTGGTCCCCAGCCGCAGCCAGCCCAGGCTGTGTTTGCCTGCAGGTCATGTGTACCTGTGCCCAAACACACGGAGGGAGTGACACAGAAAACACCCAGGCACAGACTTTAATGCAGAGGCAGGGAWTCAGCCATTTTCCTGTCTTTTGTGGTTTTTCTCTTAGGCTGAAGAACAGCCAAGCAGCATCCTGCCAAACCTGCCATCCTGGCCAGGCTGGAGCAGCACAGGGRCCATGGGGGCTCCAAGGATGGCTGGACTGGGTTGGGGGGCTCAGGACAGGGACCAGAGAGCCCAGCGAGGCTTGGGGCATCTGAGTGCTGCCATTGGGACACGATGGAGCTGAACTCCTCTTGTCCAGGGCAGGTGACACGGCAGGGACAATGGGGGCRTGGTGGGGYTTGGAGAGCTGGAAACCCCTSTGGGAGGGTGCAGCCMTGGGGCAGAGCAGGCACAGCRAGGGGTGCCCCAAACTTGGCTGGCACAGCCCCAGTGGGATAACCTGAGGACAGGGGACCCCAGACTGGCACACCCAGAGCCCCTGGCCAGCGCTTGGGGGGCCCGTGAGCCTCCCCACAGAGCCCCGGGCTGGGAGGGTCCGGCTGCCCCTCAGGCTCTGCGGCAGGACCTGGCTCTGGCCACACAGACAGCCCCCAGCAGGACGAGCAGGGCCAGGGCCACGCACACCGGGGCCGCCACGGCAGCGGGGTCACAGCGCAGCACCGACACGGGCACCTGGGCCACCGGCCAGCCCTGGTACTGAGCCGGGGACTGGCACCTGTAGCCATTGGGCCAGCCCTGCCCCAGGTGCCCCCCGGCCGCCAGCGCCTGCAGCCCCCCRGCCCCGGAGCACGAGCAGCTGAAGGGATTGTCAGCCATGGCCACGTCCTGCAGGCGCCGCAGGAGCTTCAGCTCATCCCTCGGCAGCTCCGAGATGGAATTGTTGTCCAGGTGGAGGGTGTCCAGCACGGGGTAATTCCTGATGGAGGGGACGGCCTGCAGCAGGTTTTGGCTCAGGAAGAGCTTCTTCAGGGAGCTGAGGGASATGTCTACAGCGTGGAGGTGGTTGTGGCTCATGTCCAGCACCTCGAGCCTGCGCGGCAGAGGGGTTGGCACGTTGTCCAAGCCGGCGTTGGACAGGTTAAGATGCCGGAGGGATGTTGGCCACAGGCAGGAGGAGGATGGCTCTGCCACCAGGCTGTTGTGGCTGAGATCGAGGTGCTGGAGCTGCGGCAACAGCTGCAAGCCCTCGCACACGCTGTGGTAGGACCTGAGGTTGTTGTGGTGCAGACTCAGCTCCTGGAGCTGRGGGAAAGCTCCCTGGCAGAAGGTGGGGCTCAGGCTCCCATCCCCGAGGCTGTTCTGTGCCAGGTCCAGGGAGCGCAGCGCCCCGAGCGCCCTCCCGACGGCACAGGGCAGGTTGGTGACACGCGAGCTGGTGACATTCAGTTCCTCCAGGACCTCCAGCCACCTGCTGAGGCTGGAGAAAGCCTGCTCTTGGCCCGTCAGCGGYGCCGAGGTCACGTTGTGGAAGCTCAGGGAGCGTATGGGCAAGGTCTGGCCGTCCATGTCACTCCAGTCCCCTGAGCCCTGGAAAATGCAGCTCTTGAAGGCCAGCTCCTGCACGTGGGTGTAGGAGAAGAACCTCAGCACACGGGCCAGGAGTATCTCAGGCACCAGCACATTTGCAATGATTATTTTCTGGACGATAAGGGAGTCCAGGGTTTCAATGGCGGAGGAGTCCAGGTCTCTGATGGGRAAGGCGATGTATTTCTCCACATCTCCACCCTGAAACTCCACCACAGTTGCTGCGAGGCACTGGATGATGCTGCCTGCGGTCTCCTCGGACAGGTTGTAGCACACACAGGACTCCTGAGTGCGGTTGAAGTAACACCTGTTCCTTCTGCCTTCTGCCTCCAGCAGCCCCAGCCCCAGGAGGAGCAGCACRGCCACACTCATGGTGAACAACCTAAAAGCTGGAGGAGAAAGGGTGAGTGGCAGCTGAGGGGAGTGCTCTGACCTGGACTGGGGGGATGGCTTGGGCAGAACTGCCCCTCAGGGACAGGGCACTGCCCTCATCCCTCCTGCACCCGCTGAGCCGTGACTTGGGCAATGCTCGGGCCAGCAGCCAAACACCCAGGAGCTGCACCTGTGCCCTTCCCTCGGCAGGGAATCTCCCGGGRCTCTGGCTGCAGACTTTCGCTCCTAAACCACCAGGAAATGCCATCAGGAAATARGAGAAACTACAAGTGCAGAGTTGCTGACAGTGAAGCCAGATGCATCCATCCAGTCTGACCACGGGAAGAGCCCCAATTTTGTTTGTTCCTCTGTAATCTGGGGCAGGAAATTGCAACAGAGGGCTTCATGCTGTTTTCTCCTTCCTCACCCAGTGATTTGAATGATCACCAGCCCCAAAGGGATGGTAGAAAATGACCCCTGAGGGTCTGAAAACATCGCTGTCAGCACCAGATGCTGGTCAGCTGAGAGAGAGTCGGATGCCAGATTGCAGAAGAAGCAGCAAGCACAGATTAAAGGCTTCTAGAGATGTGCTGACTCAGCTGTGCCGAGTGGCAGGGGGTTTCTGGGGGTCCCCAGGGCAGCCTCCTGCTTTGAGCCGCTCTGTTTTTGGCACCAGCCCCGATCARCCCCGGCTTTCTTCGGCCACATCCCAAAGCCCACCGAGGGCGCTGTCCCTACCTGTCCGTGCGGCCGCGGGGCTGCACCGCCCTCCCGAGTGCTCCGGCACCTGCACCGAGCGCCCCCGGCCATGGGGAGCAGGATCGGCTCGGGGTTTGTGCAGTGACTCACCGGCCAGCTCACACCGAAACGGATCCTTGCTCCACGGCCGCTTCCTCCAGCTGCTGCCAAATCCCGGGCTGAGATCTGCCCGCCAAAAGCTCCGAGGGCTCAGCTCCGTCCGGCACCCGACCGTGCCGAGGTCCCGCCGAGGAGCCCCGGTGTGCTCCTCCCGCCGCCGCTGCTGCTGCTGTCCCGCTCGGTGCCCACGCCCGGGGCTGGGCTGACACCTCCAGCCCGGCTCCTGGCACAGCCCTCGCTCCTACGGCGTGACTTCCTGAGCAGGACGGAGCCTCCTAAGCCGCTTCTGCTTCTCTTCCCTGCGGCTGCGGGCTGGGCAAAGCTGTGGTCCGACTGCCAGCGCTTCTCACTTTCCTAGGAAGGGTGACGGAACAGTGCGGGCAAGAGTCYCCAAATGCACCCTCAGGATCAGCTCTTCCCTTTCAGATGCTCTGGCATTGCCGTGCCTCAGAGCTCACCGGGAGCTGAGCACCCAGCAGGCGATGCAGAGGGGTACAGGACTGTCACACCTGTGCTCTGTGTAGGGTGGGGATGGCACAATTCTGATCCACTGTGCATCCACTGCACTCCGTACTAGAGCTGGCCCCTCAGCCTGGMTGAGGAGCTCACATCACTTGCCCCGTGCTCCTTTGGCCACCGGCAGCTGTGCCTGCCCCAAGGTGTTAATGCTCCCCTGCAGCGAGCAGAGACCAGAGGGGACTTGGAACGATCCAGAAGTGTCCAAGAAACCACTGGATGTGGCACTGAAGTGTTCTGGTCTGGCTGACAAGGTGGTGATCAATCAAAGGCTGGCCTCGATGATCTTGGAGATCTTTTCCAACATAAATGATTCCGTGATTCTGTGATCTTTCAGGAGTTTTTTTTTATTTCCCAGGAAATTCTCTGCCTATGTTGGATTCAGAAAGGTGATGAAACTGCATGGCTGGACAATGCAATACCCACTTCGTTATTGTTAATATGGCACTACATGTTGGTGCCACAACAGCTGGGGTGGGAGCTGTCCCTTGCTCTCAGGCACCCTTGTGCAGAGGGGCTCAGCAATTCCATTATTCCTCTTCTGCATCCTCGAGTTACATGAAATTCCTCAGTACAAAAAGGACGTGGAGCTGTTGCAGCAAGTCCAGAGGAGACCACGGAACTGCTTCAAGGGCTGGAGCCCCTCTGTTCTGGAGACAGGCTGGGAGATGGGGGTGTTCAGCCTGGAGAAGCTCAGGGGAGACCTTCCAGTGCCTCAAGGGGCTCCAGGAGAGCTGGAGAGAGACTGGGGATAAGGGATGGAGGGACAGGACATGGGGAATGGCTTCCCACTGCCAGAGGATAGGGTTAGATGGGATATTGGGAAGGAATTCCTCCCTGTCAGGGTGGTGAGGCCCTGGCACAGGTTGCCCAGAGCAGCTGTGGCTGCCCCATCCCTGGAAGTGTCCCAGGCCAGATTGGATGGGGCTTGGAGCAGTCTGGGTGGGTGGAAGGTGTCCCTGTCCATGGCAGGGGGGTGGAACTGGATGAGCTTTAAGGTCCCTTCCCACCTGAACAGGCCTGGAATTCCAGAAACTGCTGCTGAGCGCATGATGGAAAAATCACAGCTGCCTCTGAACTCTGCCCCCGGCCCCGTTTGACCAGCTCGGCAGCCCTGCCCGCACGGTACCCTTAAYTTCTCCGTCCAACTGCAAATTCCCAAACACCTCCCTGGGGAAGCACCTCCCTGCCCCTCGGTCCCCATCACCACGGGGGAAGGTCTCGGGGCACGGAGCCGCCGTGGTTTATATTTCTGGTGAATCTTTGAGGGCTTTTTTTGGCCTCGGCACACGCAGCACCCATTCCCGGGGGGCACAGCGGGCCATGCCCGCAGCGGGCTGCGCGCTCCGGCTGCGGAGGGCGGGCCGGGGCCGGCTTTTCCCCGCCCCGGGACCGCCCCAGGAGTGGCCCAGGAGTGGCCCAGGAGTGGCCTTTTCCTCCTCCTGTTCCTCCTCCGCCGCCATGTGGGGCCGGCGGCGGGGCCGGCGCGGCGGGCGCAGCGCGGAGGAGCTGCGGGTGCGGCGGCGGGAGCGAGAGGCAGGTCCGGCCGGGGACACCGGGGACAGCCGGGGACAGCCGGGGGATTGCGGGGACAGCCGGGGGATTGCGGGGCCCCCCGTGGGTGGGAGGGACCCCCCAGATCAGCCCTTCCCGCCCCCATCCCCGCCCCGTCCGGTCGCGCATCGCGGGATGCGCGGGGTGATCGGCGCCGCTGCCCGCTCGGGGAGCGTTTTACCCTTTTAATGTTAACCCACGGGAATTCTGCCGTGAATTCCCCGTTTCTTCAWCAACCCCCCCGCTATTTGGGTTTTCCGAGGTCTCGCCTCCGTCTTAGCGAGAGAAAAGGCGGCTCCTTTGAAAARGGGGRACCTTGTGGCTCTGCACARCTCCCTGACAGGAGGGGCAGCCGGGGCGGGTCGGGCTCTGCTCCAGGGAACAGGGACAGGAGGAGARGGAACGGCCTCGAGTGCACCATGGAGGGATTMGGGTGGATATTAAGGACAATTCCTTCMCCAGAAGGGTGGTCAGSCATTGGAACAGGCTGCCCAGGGCWGGGGTGTAGTCACCATTCCTGGRCGTGTTTTCAAAAGACAAGATGAGGCACTTGGGGACATGGCTTGGTGGCCTCTGTGGTGTTCAGTTGAAGGCTGGGTTTGGTGATCTTGCAGGTCTTTTCCAACCTTAATGATTTTATGATCCTGTGTGAATTCCAGCCTCGAGCCTGTCCTGCTGGCTCTCATGCCCCTGTCCCGTGTTCCTGCCCGTTATCCCAAATGTGGCTCCACACTTTGTGTGCCCGACCCTCGGCCCCCACTCCGGGCTTGCACAAGGAGGAACGGGCAGTTTCTCCCTGGACTGGAGGAGGGATCAGGCTCCTGGGTGGGATGGGGGTCTCCCTGCGCTGGCAGATGCTGACAGGTCTGATCCCATGGCAGCTCTCCGCAAGGCCCGGCGGCAGGAGCAGCTCGTCAGCAAGCGGCTGCTGCGGGAGGACAGCACAGACCAGGAGGGTGCACAGGATGGAGCAGATGTGGTGCCAGACCCACTCTCAGAGGATGAGGTGAAGAACCTGACATTCTCCGTGGCAGTGGAGGTTCCAGGGGTCTTCCCCAGCCTCAGCATGTGAGGGAGGCTGGGCGGGGGCAGATTTGGGAATGGTTCTGAATCACTGCCAGACACAGGGAGGTTCCTCCTGCCCATCTTTATGCCCTGGATTCCTTTGCCTCCAGGATTAACGGGACGAATTCTTAATGCTGGCACTGCAGGAAGCTCACGCACCTTTTAATTCCTTGGTCAGGTTCTGGAGCTGCTCAGGGGTGTGCAGAGGGGCTCGGAGGACAGGAAGCGCTCCCTCGGCCGCCTGCGCTGGGCTCTGCAGAACGAGGAGACTCAGCAGAAGTTTGTCAGGTCAGCCCAGGCCTGGTGCTGTACCCAGGGCACGTCCCGAGGGGCTCTGTGTCCCTGTGTCCCTGTGGGTGGGCTGGCGTGTGGCCCTTGCTGGGAGGTGACAGCAGTGTTTGGATCCCCAGGCTGGACGGCAGCATGCGGACGCTCACCGGGCTCTTCACCAGCAGCCTGGCTGACCTGCAGCTGGAGGCTGCCCGCTGCCTGCATGAGCTGTCCCACTCCAGTGTCCCCGCAGTGGCTGAGGCGTGTCTGCCTGTCACCTCCTACCTGCTCACCTACCTGTCGGGACACAGCCTGGAGTTCACGGTGAGGCCCTGCTGCGAGTTTGCCGGGGCTCTGCTACCTTTGGCATGGTTGGTACTGACCTCCTGGCCAAACGTGGCTCATGGGGAGTGCTGGTGGGAAGGGGCCCTCTGGTCCTTGCCCTCGGAGCAGGACTGTTCCCAGTGCTGTTGGGACCTGCTCTGAAGGTGGGATGAGTGAGGYTCTTGTTAATCATGGCGTGGGTTAGGGTGAAACCACACTGAATCACCCCTGTTTATGTACTTACATATATGGCAGGTTTGTTTTGAAACAATTACATTGCAATGGAAAGGAGGCACAAAGCCGTTTTGGTTATTTTCTGTAGAATTGAAACAATATAAAAGTACAAAGATATCACTAAAGAAAATATATAAGGAAAAGAAAGAAAGAGAAAGAAAGGATAAGAGTAAACAGTAGAATGCCTGTGGCTGTGCACTGTTTGAAAGRAAAGGAGCAAACAGTTGGAATAGCTCTGGGGTGCTCGTGTGTTTTCCAGTTCTCCATTGGGAAGCAGACAGGGTCAGAGCTCGGGAGCAAGGTGGGCAGTGACCCCCAGGTGCTGATCACSTTTGAATGCAGCACACGGGCAGGCTCCAGGAGAAACAGATGGGCTCAGAGAAATGTCATCCTGAGGATTGGAGGCCYGAAAAAATTCCAAAGTGGGAGTGATCAGATCCCATCTTCAGCCACATAGAAAAAGAACAAACTGAAGCAGATAGAGCTGAGAATGGGGTGGCTGGAGGGTCCAGCACTATCTATCCGTGTTTCCCCCTCCAAAGCCAGTTCCTGCCCCGCTCAGGGCAGTGTGTGGGACACAGAGCCTTGCTATCTTGCTGTCAGCTGCCTGCTCTGCTGTGTTGTTGCAGGAGCTGTGTTTGTACACACTGGGGAACCTCGTAGTAGAAAGTGAAGCTGTGAGGAAGCAACTTCTGCCTCAGGGCATTATTCCAGTGCTGGCATCCTGCATCCAGGTGGGTAAAACAGCTCATCCCCACTTCTGCTCTGCCCTAGAGAGACTTTTCTGGCTGACAGCCCTGAGTCACCAGCCCTCCTTCCAGCTGTGTCTGCAGGCACAGTCCCCTCTGCAGGGAGCTGTTCCCTCGAGTGTGAGGGTCACTTGTGGGCTCCCTGCACTCCATTTTTGGGGCTCAGCTCACCACCTTGTGCTCTTCTCCAGCTCAATCTCCCCATCCAGGGAGATGCCTGATACAGTCTGTAGCACAGGGAGCCCTGTCCCCTCTGTCTGGCCTGGGTCCAGCAGGGCTGTGTTCTGCAGGTCCAAATGCTCAAAGCAGCGCTGCTGCTGCATTTGGGCTGAGCCCAGTGAACGTGGGGAGGGAAACAGCTCAGCTCTGGTTCCTGTGTCCCCTCTGGTCCCTGTGTGTCCCCTCTCCTCCTGCACGGCGGGGCTGCGTTTGGCTGGCACCCCGGGGCCCTGGCTCTGTCAGGAGGGATCAGCTCTGCTCTCTTTGATTGCAGTCCCCGCATGAGGCGGTGCTGGAAGGTGTGGGCTATGTCCTCTCACAGCTCCTGCAAGCCAAGGAAGCGCCCACGGAGATCATCCCGTGAGTCTGAGCTCTAACCCCGCAGCAGGGTGGGCCCTGGGGCCTGCTGTGGTATTTGTGTGCTGGGGACACGCCTCCTTCCCCATCCCAGTGACATTAATAGTTCARGGCGGAATCCCTCCAGAACTGGGCAAGTTTTGATGCAGATCRCAGAGCAGGGCTTGGCTCCTTTCCCTTGGCCTCAGCCAAGCAGACAGCTCTGGTATTTCAGTAAAGGCCAGCATGGAGCAGGGTAGGCTCACAGGGAATTCTGGCTGTGTTCCTTCTGTGAAGGAAAAGATCAGCTTGACAGCCCCCAGTGCCAAAAATGTGACCCCAGCCAAGGTGTCCTGAGTGTCCCCAGGCCCTGCCATGGACAGGGAGAGCCTGAGGCTGCAGCCCTTGGCTCAGAGTCCCTTCCAGGTGTGTGTTTGGACCCTCTGGCCCCCAGCAGCTGCCTGGCCAGGGTTCCTCTCTCCCTGTTGGTGTCTGTGCCACCTGTGCCTGCATTAACTCTGCTCTCTGCCCCCAGCTTGGTCCTGGACTCAGTTCTCCCSCAGCACATGCTCCGCCTGGTTTGCTCTGGCCTCAAGGCTGGGATGGGAGCRGCTGTGGAGTTTGCCTGGTGTCTCCACTACATCATTTGTAGGTAAATGCATTTTTCTCCTCKTTTCAGGTTCCATGGGGGCAGCAAAACAGGCACAAAGACTCGTGATCCTGCGAGGGGTCCTGGATTGCTTCTTCCCTTTTCCCTTTTCCCAGCCATCCTGGGTATCCCTGCTCTCCTATCTGTGCTGTTTGCAGGATCATTGAGCTCCTTTACAGGGTTGTAATGGGTGATAAACCTGAGGTGCTCCTAGTCCTCTGAAGTGCCCTCAGAACACCTCCCCATGCCTGGAGTTGTCCCCCACACTTCCCAAGGCAAGCTYCCTGAATCCTCACCCTYRTGGGGTTGGCCCAGTGCCACCCATYCGGGCTGTGCCTGCAATCCCTGCCTGCCACCAGAGCCAAGGAAGGTGTGGATACTCAAGGGTCAGGGCTGTTGTTTCCAGACCCACACAGATAACCCCCATGAATCTGTTTGTCATAGACTTCTGAACTTTCTCATAAGCCCAGAAAAAAGCTGCTAYTCCAACATGAGAGAAGCCACTGTTCCAACATGAAATAAACCCTGTGGTGGTGCAGGAGAGCACTCTGAATTTCCAAGCCCTGTTGTTTGGCAGGGGGCCGTGGCAGTTCTCCCTCTCCAAGCTCTGAAGCCACCACAGTGTCCCTCCCTTTGCAGGCACGAAGCCAACACGGTGCTGCTGGAGCTGGGGGCTGTGCCTGCCCTCACCTCGCTGCTGCTGGACCTGGCTTCTGAAATCCCCCAGGACGCTCCCGAGGGCCTGGAGCTGGTGAGAGGTGGGCAGGGTGCTGGCTGTTCTCAGGATTGCYGTGGGGCCATGGCTCAGCTCATGGGGTTTTGTGTGTCCCTGTGCTACAGCTCGTGTGCCCTGTGCTGCGGTGTCTCAGTAACCTGCTGGCAGAGACGGGCAGCCAGGGGCAGGGCCGGGACGGGCGCCTGCTCATCGCCCTGTTCCTCATCCTGCAGTGCTTCCTCCAGCAGCACCCCTTCCTCGTGCAGGAGTGCCTGTGGCTGCTCAATAACCTCACAGGTGAGTGTCCCATGGGGCTGCTCAACAACCTCACAGGTGAGTGTCCCGTGAGCTGGTGGCACAGGCAGGCACTGCTGGCACCTGTCCTGATTTCATTGATACGTTCCCTCTCTGCCCACCCCAGCGGATGACCCCGTCTTGTGCTCTGCTCTGCTCTCCCTGGAGCTGCTCCCGGCCCTGCTGCAGCTCCTGAYGTGTTCCCAGATGGCCAGTGTGTTGGTAAGACCTTGCCTCATGCCTTGGCAATGGTGGGAACATGAATCCTGCACTGACAGTCCTGGAGCTGGAGCGTGGATGGGGTGGCAGTGACAGCTTGGCAGAAGGTTTCATGCTGTGGCCATCACCAGCCACCTCCCCTGAAGCCACTCCAGGGTATTTACCTTTGGTAAAGCCTTTTCCCAGTGTAAGGTGGTGCCAAGGGAGAGGTTGGGGCCAGCCCCTGGACAGGCCTGGAAAGGCTTCTGCCACTTTGCTTTGAAAGAACACAAAGTTTTAGGGGGCTGGGGAGGAGGACACTGCCTGGGGTGGGTGGTAAGGCTGTGTCTGTGTGGCATGGGACTCAGTGCCTTGGGGTAGGCATGGAGAACGCATTCCAAATCCAGTGGTGGGCCCATGGCTGTGGGCAAGCACCTGGCAGAACAAAAGAAGATAGGTGGAGAGGGAATTTGGACAAGGGGATGGAATGGCGAGACAATCCATTGGGCAGGGTTAGATGGGATATTGGGAAGAAATTCCTCCCTGGGAGGATGGTGAGGCCCTGGCACAGGGTGCCCAGAGAAGCTGTGGCTGCCCCATGCCTGGAAGTGTCCAAGGCCAGGCTGGACAGGGCTTGGAGCACCCTGGGATGGTGGAAGGTGTYCCTGCCATGGCAGGGGGTGGAACTGGATGAGCTTTAAGGTCTCTTCCCACCCAAATCACTCCACAGTTCCATGGCACAGGGAGTTGTTGGGAGCCCTGAGCCTGTCAGGAATGTGCCCTGGAGCACTGACTGCCCGCTCTCACTCCCCCAGGTGCTGACAGTGCTGTGCAACATCGCAGAGCAGGGGCCACTCCAGTGCCAGTGCCTGCTCCGCCAGCCCCTCCTGCCCCAGCTCCTGCCTGTCCTTGCACTGCCCAACCCCGAGGCTGTGGGACAGTGCCTGGAGCTGCTGCACCTCCTCTTCCTGCACTGCCCCCAGGTGAGAGCTGGGGGAGCTCTGGGCACAGGATTGTAAAGGGGATGGGGAATGATTATGGTGCGGGTTATTGTTATTATTGTGGAGGGGAGATAGTTATTGTAATCTAAGTAACAGTGCCTTCAGTGACTGCCACACTGSCCCCACCACTCAGCACCCAGACCCCTGCCCAAAGGGCTACTGTGATGCAGAGAGTGGAAGCCCTTCTGTGTCTCTGGAGAGTTCCTTTCTTATTGGCAAGGACTCATTTTTTTGGGCAGGTTGTTTCTACCCTGAGTTTTCTTTTGATCCTGCTGGGGTTGCTTCACTTGCTGCAGATCATAGGAAGAAATTCTTCCCTGGGAGGGTGSTGAGGCCCTGGCACAGGGTGCCCAGAGAAGCTGTGGCTGCCCCATCCCTGGATGTTCAAGGCCAGGCAGGACAGGGCTGGGAGCAGTGTGGTTGTGTCCAGCTGTCCCTGTCCATGGCAGGGGCTGGGGATGAGATGGGCCTTRAAGACCTTCCCAACCAACCATCAGCACGGTGGGATTTACCTGCCTCAGGAATGTAGTGTCTGGGAGGGCTCTGGGGAATTCCTTCAGCCCTGCTCCCTGGGCTGTGGTGGCTGTGGGCAGAGATGATCAGCTGTAGCACCCAGCCAGCTCTCACCCTCTCCTCTTGCACAGGCTGCTGCTGATTTCACCAGGCACGGTGGGCACCAGGCCCTGGAGCAGCACCAGAGCACCCCAGAGCTGCAGGAGCGGGCACAGGCACTGCTGGACATGGTCACACAGCCACCAGGAGCCCCCAGTGCCTGCCAGGCCACACTGCCTGCCTTTTCCTAGGCCTTCTCCCTTCCCTACCCTGAATTCCCAGGGGGGAATGAACTGATCACCCCATGCCCAGCTTCCCAAGGGCTGCTCAGGACTCTGATGTCCTTGTGCTGGGGACATCACAAAGAGGTGCTGGTCCTTGTCACCACCTCATAGACACCAGCCCGGTGCCCCCCAGAGCCTGGAGCAGGGGCAGAGCTGAGCTGCAGCCCAGGCAGACACACTCCTGGTGCCAGGGAGGGCTGAATGGCAGCATCAGCCATTGCTTGGGCTTTCAGCCACCACCAAGCTCAAGGTAAGCACATTGTGTTTATGAATTGATAAATTAAAGATACATATTTGACATTAAAGATAATCAGTCACATCTGCAGCATGTGTGTATTTCCTGTCAGTCCTTATGCCTTGCTTTTCACAGTGCTCTCCACAGCCTTGGCCACTTCATCTGCAGTGAAGTTGTTCAGTAGGATGCACTTCTCCTTCCCAAACTCTGTGGGAAAACAGAGAGGGTGAGAAGGGGCAGGGCTGTGGGTCCTTTTCTGGTTCAAGGGCACTGTGTCACAGCCCAGCCTCCCGCCACTGCTCCGTCACACTCATCACTTCCCCGCGTCCCTCCAGGTGTTCAAGTTACCATTTCCACCCTCTCCTTATTCTCCTGTTTTCCCTTGGAAATAACTCAAAGCAGCCCAACCCCTTTCCCAGTTTCGTTTTGTTAGCTTTGGCTGGGCAGCAGCTGGGCAGGGACACATCCAAGAGCAACTCTGTGGCTTTCAGCTTCATCTCAGCAGGGTGCTCACCAAATACCTCAGGAAAGCACCCAGAAAACTCTGTGTTCTGCCAGCTGCCTGGACCAGGCTGACCTGGGGCTCCCTTTCCTTGCGAGTCCCACCCAGACACACCTGAGACACCCCTGGACCATGTGCTCACACTGGGGAAACGTGTGCTTCAAGAGTCACCGCATCTCTTCAAAAGTTTTTAAATTATTTTTTTCCCAGCGCAGATGACCTTTGAGGAAAAGAAATCCTTTCCTCAGAGGGTTTTTCTGCACCCTTGGTGTTCCACTGAGACTGCAGTGAAAATAAAGGAAAAACAGACACGCTCTTGTGTAGTGAATGGAGTGGGGAGGGGGAGATCACAGAGGCTGGAAACTCCTTGCTGAGCACTGGCTCCTGTTCTGCTTCCCCTGGGGTCACTTCCCTGACGTGAACCCCACCCTGTCCCGAGGGCAGCTGCTCCCTCTCCACCAAAATCCCTCATGTAACCCTTCAACAGCCACTGCTGCAGCCCACAGCTGAAATTCCTCCC